ACAATCTCAGTGTAAAGTGCCATTTTCATTATATGTCAAGAGCACACACTGTCAACCTCACTGTTGATGTTGACCTTGGGCACATGCTTGAGGTGGTATTTGTCAGATTTCTCCACTGTAACACTTACTTTTGCCCATTTCTATATACTCTTTGGAAGGAAGTCACTATGCACTATCCACATTAAGGATGGAAATTGTGTTCATCTACTTAAGAGTATCTACCTAAATTATTTGGCATTTTTATACATGGGCTATTGGCTTATTCTCTCAATGTGTTTACTTAGTCAATCATTTATATGTGCTTGGGTAGTTATTATATATTTTGAGTTATAGTAAGTTACTACACTGTTGATTTGGTCTCACATTAGTCCAGATTTAGTCTTTGGAAGCTCTTTCAGTTATTCCCTGTGCCCCTGGAACATCCCTCCATCATTAGTATCTTTTGTATTTTATTACTTTCCAGCACTACAGGATGCTCTCAGCTCATGTTATATATTCCTTGCTCTAATCCTAGAATTATCCATTTCTCCTAGGGGCCCTGGCCCCTTTTATTGAAGACTAGTATTAGAAATCAATATACGAGTATTTTGTTTTACCTTGTCCGTGTGAAAAACAAGACAAAATAATCCAGCAAAAATTTCAAAAATCCAAGGCAAGAACAACAAACACAAATGCCCTGCCAGGGAGCAGCTTGGGTAAGTTGAGGCAGGTGGCTTGTGCGGCACACCAGCCTCACGTTACCACAGGAGATGGTCCTAGCAGCTGCCTTGGATCTCTGCTCCTTCTCCTCTGGTCTTTTCTATAATCTTGGGCGACTCTCTTTACCATGTTAGGCCATTTTCTGACTCTTTAAATGCATCAATGAGATTAAGATTTTTGAACGTTAAGTAAAAGTGTAATTCAACAGATGACTTATTCTCTTCAAAAGGATAATCTTTAAGAGTTATTACTGCCTATGCTAACCTGTTTTCAGTCGCAATAAGAAAATATCTGAGGTTGTATACTTGATGAAGAAAAGAGGGTAAGCCTGGTTTGACGGTGACTGCTTGTAATCACAGCACTCAGAAGGATCTCAAGTTCCAGGCCAGACTGGGCTCCACAAGTCTCAAGAAATATTTACTTAGCTCCCAGTTCTAGAAGCATAAAAATGTGGTGCCAGCTTCCAAGTGCATGTGAGAGGGAGAGATGGGTCATGTGATGACAGGAAGCCAGAGGGGAGGGGCAGTCTTACTGCTTTTGAAACAGCCTGCTCACAGAGGTTCTAACTCACTCCAGAAGACCAGCACTAATCCCTTCCCAGGTGGGTGCTCCCAATGACCTAACACCCTCCACTAGACCTCACCTCTTCATGTTCCACCATTTCTTGATCCACTACAGTGGAGACCAGGCCCTCAGCACATGAACCCTGTGGGGACGCACCCAAACCGTGTCCAAACCATAGCAATACTCATAGTTGCACGAGGCTTCGTCTTTGTTCAAAAGTCCCAACAGTTGTTTTAGAGGTTGGGCCAATTCAAAAGGTTTTCCCTGTGAAGTAGTGAAGAAATTGCTTCACTTAGGCAGAAATGATGGGCTGAAGCAGCAGCCACTTATAATTCTAATACTTCACCTGGGATGGCTTTCATGGACAAATCCCCCTTTAATAAATATTATAGTAGAGAGCAAGCTTTAAATATTAGGTCTTTCTGCAGTTTACATGAACAGTAATCCAGACATTTAGGTTCCAGTAATCATCAGCAACATAATCATCTTTCTTGGGAAGGATCACAGGATCTTTGGGTGATCTTGAAGATCACAGGGAGGGGGGACCAACAATTCAACAATTTGCCAATTCCATTTTCTCAGTATCATTGCATGTAGATTGGGGTTAAAGGAATGGAAGCCTGTAAAGGAGGGATGAGGCAGAAATCTCTGAGCCCACCACCCAGTATTCAGGGACCCACTGCCAGCCTCTCCATCACAAGCAGGGCATTGCAGGATAGTGTTCCTAGAAAAACCATCCCAGACTCTTAGTGGGGAACCTCTGAGGACAAACAGGGTGGCCACAGTAGGCAAATGAGGATGTCACACCAAAATCATGGAACTGAATCATACCAGGTTTCCGATCTCTCATTCTCACCATCGAGGTTTCTTTTAAATTATTTTTATAATATTTAGCAATGTCTTCTGCATGGTGAGCCCTTTGATTTCTCAGAATAAGATGAAATCTCTACTGTGATTAATACAGGGCTCCTCAAAGTCCTGCACCTGGACAGCACTGTAGCCATGTGCTCGCCGTTGACCAGTCTCATCTTAAACGCATTTCCATACATTCTAGGGCTGCTGGCAGTCACACTCTATTCCTAGTCCTCCTCCCACCTTCTGCCTCGTTAACATGCTCACCTGCTCTGTCCTCCCTCACACACAGCTTCCACGAGGAACTTAGAAGCCATCGGAAGAGACGTCTGCAAGCTCCCATCTCCACTCACCAGCGTCTAGTCTTTCTATTCTCCTTCCTTCCTGTTGGCGGTAGATGAAAGGTCACTTTTCTCTAGGGCCACTGCCTCCCAGTGGGCACTAAACGTCCTCCCCTTCACCTACTTAAAGCCCTACGCCAGCAGTCCACATGCTGGCTTGTATCATCAAGTTTTCTCTTGCTACTGGATTACTTGCATCAGCATTAAAACACTTATTTCTCCTATCTTGAAAACAAAATTTAAAAATTTAAATCACGTAACATAAAATTTACCACTGTAACCATTTCTAAGTATACATGTCAGTGGTGGTAAGTATATCACATTGTACAACTAATCTCGAGCTTTTTCATCTTGGAAGACTGAAGCTTTGAACTCATTAAACAGTAACTTCTCATGCACGCCCTCCTCAGCCCCGTAGCCCCCATTCTACTTTCCCTGTCTATGAATTGACTTTCGGCTATTGTGAATAGTTTCCTATGAACTTGGGTGAACAAATATTTCTTTGAGGTTCTGCTTTCAATTCTTTTGGGAACCTGTTTGAAGTAGAATTATTGGGTCATATGATAGCTCAATTTTTGACTTTTTGAGGGACCAATCCGTTCCCACCAACAGTGCACGAAGGTTCTAGTTCCTCTACAACCTCACCATCTGCTATCTGTTTTCATGGGGTTTTGTTTTGTTTTTGATAGTGGCTGTCCTAATGGCCATGATGTGGCATTTCACTGTGGGCCAAAAAAAAAAATCTCTCATTTCTCTTGGCTTGTTCCTTGTTCCCCTTTATGACAAAACTCCTTGAAAGGGTTGACTTTACTTCACAATCCCATTGTCTTTCTTTCCATTATTTCCTAAATTGACCCCTATCATAATGACCCTGTTTAAAAATTTCAAGCCAAAGTGCAACTCCTCAATCACTCTTCCCAGACCCCTTCCCTCTGTCTTCCCCATCAGCTCTTATCCCAGCACTCCATCCCATGTACTTCTTATTCTGTTTCCTGTCATTAGAATGTCATTAGATATTAGGATGTCAGCTCCATGAGTACAAAGATATCTAATTATCCCAACATGAACCACTATAGTACAACCTCTCTACTTGATAAGTTCCTAAATCTTTTCCTTCCTTTCCTTTTTTCCCCTCCTTTCTTTCCTTCCAGCACTAGGGATTGCATCCAGAGCCTTTTTCTTGCTAAGCCTCGTTACCCTCTAATCTCACTCTGGCCTCCTACCATTGCACACAGTTGCACAGACTCTCCAGGCATATTCCTGCCTTAGGACCTTTGCACTTGATATTCTTATTGTCTGGAATATTCTTCCCCTAGACACTTATGTGACTTATTCCTTCAAATCTTTGCATAATGCCACTCAAGCCAGTCTATTTTAAAATTTCACCCCAAAATGCAACTCTTGTAGTTCCCAGGTCCCTTCCCCTTTCACCATCAGCACTTCTAAGATACTATATCATGTTCTTATTTATTTTATGTATTGTCTGTTACCCCTCCAATAGAATATCAAAAAGATTTTTTAAAAATCTTTTTTAAAAAATCTGATTTATTCCTGTTGTATCCCCAGCACTAGAAGAGTGTCTGGTATGAAACAGGTTCATAATACATGTTGGTTGAATGAATAAATGAATATAGAATGGTTGGAGAATTTGCACGGAGAATATTATTTCTCCATGACTATTATTATTATTATTATTATTATTATTATTATTATTATTATTCTGGCCTAAGAACCCAGGAAGAAAGTTAGGATATGGATGGGGATTTATATGTTAACATCAGAATATACAATCTTGCTACTCAAAGTGTGGTCCATGGACCAGCAGTGTTAGTTCCATATGGGAGCTCATGAGAAATACAGAATGTCAAGTCCTACCCAAGAACTTTTGGGTCAGAATTGCATCTTAATGAGGCCAGGAGGTTCCTTGTAAAAGCTGAAGATCTCCTGTGTGGAACAATGGTCTTCAACCTTAACTGTGTGTTAGAACCTGAGTATAATTAAACACCCTTGATGCCTGGAGCCTACTCCCAGAGACTGGCTTAACTTGTCTGGAATGGGGTCCAGACATAGCTAGTGGTGATGAGGGGAACTGATGGATTTATTCATTCCTTTGGGGAAGAGAGCTGAGATTCAAAGCTTGTCTCTGTGCCAGGCTTAGTACAGAGAGTGGTTTGTTGAGACTAACACCAATTAGCCATCTCCACCTAATTCCAGAAGAGCAAATTTCAGCAACTTGTGTGTGGTTTCAGGTAAGACGCCCACAGTGGTTGTTCATTCCAGCCCACATCCAACTCTTCACACCTTTGTATGTTCCTACACCCACTGCTTGGCACTGTCATTTCCTGGGTGCCTCCTCTGTAAGGGTGTGGTGAGAATTGACCTCAACCCAAATATGAATCTTGAACTTGAATTTGAAGCTCATCTCCCCAGAGCTGCACAGTAGAAAGTTGTGGAAGAATGATTGAGTCACAATAGTTACCTGGCATCCAGGAAAGATTCTGGATTTGGTCACGATTTTCATTGACCAAATGGGCTCTCTTGCAGCTCAAGTCTCCAGTTCTCATGACTTCATTAGCCCTCTCACCTCTACAGAGCACCCCAGAGCCTGACCTCAGCTCCATCCCCCAGGATGCAGCCACCATACCCAGCTTGGCAGTCCCACAGGCTGTCACAGGTAAGTCAACAGAATGAACTCTATTTTGGTGCACAGATAACAGAGTAGCCTGCCTTTCCCTTACTTTGTGAGCTAAAGAATTGCCCCTGAGATAGCTCAAAGGAAGGATTTGGTGTGGTAGTGAGACAGTAGGCAGGATGGCCAGATTCTCTAAAAACATGTTTCCCTGTCTTGCAGTTTGGATTATTTGAAACTTGGTTTTCAGTGCATTTGGGCTAAAAAAGCTGGCTGCTTTGGGGTGAGACCAGAAAGAATGGCCAGATGTTTTGTTTCAGAGCCAAGGTTCAACTGCACCAGTATGAACTTGATCACTTTGAGAATGATTCCTTTCCTGTGTTTGTGTTTTGAGATTTCTCGAGGATGCTAACCTCTTGTATCCCAGCTAGGATCCTCCAATCTGGTGAGGGTAGCACACATCCCAGTCTCTCTCTCTTGAGTACCCACCAACTGAAAATTTCATCCTAATAGTAACAGCAGTTGATGGTATCATGCACAACACACTCATTCACACACAAAGTGCCCTCATCACAACCTCACTCTCTTCTCTCATCCCACCTGAGTCTCTTCAGTCCCCTCCCACTGCTCTGAGGTAAGACCAAACCTGTTAATATGGTCTACAAGGCCCTGCAGGTTCCAGTCCCCTGTGATCCCCCTCACAGCTCTTTTCTCAGTCCCCAAGGCTGGTCGCAGGGTCTCATCTTATGTTCTTCCTCCACCTGGAATGAGCTTCCCTTCAGGTCACCCTACCCCTGCCTTACCTCTCAGCTCAGGCATTCCTCCTTCCAGGAAGCCCCCTGCCCTTCCTGTCAGGAAACCTGGCAGGAGCCTTTCTGGCCTCAAGCTTCTCACATCACAGCCTGGGCATCACTGGCCTCACCTCAGTTCCTGGGAGAACTGGAGTAGGTCTGCTTCCCAGTCAGAAGCCAGAAGCTCTTGCAGACAGGCCCTGTATCATTTGCTCACTATTTCTCTTCACGCATAGTACCAGGTACCTAGGCCTCTTATTAATTTGACCTTCTCTATCATCTGGGCTGAGGAGAGGAGAAGGCAGCCTGGGAGAGTGAAAGAGCGCTTGTCTTAGAAGTCCAAACCCCTGTGGCCTTGCTGACTGCAGACTTTGAGCTTTTGTCCAAGTACTTCCAGCCTCATTAGCAAAACAGGAATAATATGAACTCATAGGCTTGCCTTGAGACTATAGGAACTGCTCAATAAAAACCAAGTTTCTTCTTCTTTGCTGTCATTATTTAACTTTTCCAAAGTCCTATTGATGTCCACTTAAAGTCCCTGTCAGCTCTCCCTTGTACCAGTGGCCCCTAAGGTAAGACGCTCAGGTCTAGGAAGGGTGAGAGGTTGGTAGAGAATGGGAGGACATACACTTAAGAGCGGTCACTAACATATGGAAGAAAATGTCATTAGCATTCATTTTCATCTTGTCCTTATAAGCTTTCTATCTCATGGATATGTTTTGGGATCTAAACAATACTTGAGAGACAGCACTTTCCTGTGCCACTGGAAGGGAAGAAAATAACTTTTCTAACTTATTTGAGGTGGGCAGCTAGGGAACTCTTCACTTGTCTAGGAGTCTAGCTTCACGTCAAGGACAGTGAGGAGACGTTGGGCTTTTCTCAGCAAGGTCATAATAACATTATTTTTGTTTTTAAATCTTAAAACAACTGGTTTGATAGTAGGGAGCAGGGCGGATTGTACCAGAACAGTCTGAAAACAGCCCAACCCGTTAGGTAAAATTCATAAAGATTTCTCTGATATTTACTGAAATCTATTGTATACAGAAAACCAGTTTTGTAGACATCCTAACATTTTTATATGGATTTATATTACACAAATTTGATGCTTTCCTTTAAAAATGTACACATTAATATACTTAAGTAGGCAAATAATTTATAAACAAATAGACACGATTTGGGATATGTACCCCAAACCTTTTTATTGATGGAGTATATTATCTTTGAAAGTGTAGGGGTTATTGATAGGTCACCTAAATAGGTATCAATTTTCTCTGAGATTATAACTAGCACACTCCTTAAACTTCAGTGAGCATATAGTCTCTGGAATATTAGCATCATGTAGTTTTTTTCTCTTTTCGGGACAGGGTCTTGATAGGGGTAGCCCAGGCTGGCCTGGAACTCAAGATCCTTCTATTTCTGCTTCCCAAGTGCTGGACTTACAAGTCTGAACCATCACACCTGGTCATGAAGTTAACTCTTTATTCCTGGAAGGTTCACAAAGAAATGGCCACCTTTCTGTTTAGCCTGCAGCTCCTTTGGAGGAAGAAGAAAAGATTTTGTGGCATATTCACCCAGCATGGAATCATGTTTACACATGTGGTCTACAAGACTACCAAAACCGTCTTCAATTCGGATTTGATTATGTCTGCAGGGACCCACCTGTCCATCTGCTCCCCGCCTGGAGGTCCCTTGAAAGCAAGCCCTGGCTGTCAAGGGGTTTGGCTTTTTTGCCTCTTTTACTTCTGAAGTTGGGAAGAGTCAGTCCCACGAGTGCCCTTCTTAGCTTTCCCAAGGCCAGGGCCCAGGGCACATGGCTAGGGCAGCCGGCGGGCCTCCCACACATGCAATGCCAGGGCCTGTGGTTTCTGTCCCCACAGTCTGCCTCTACATCAACAAGCAGGCCAATGCGGGCCCATACCTGGAGAGGAGGAAGCTGCAGCAGCTCCCGGAGCGCTTCGGGCCAGAGAGGCCAGCAGCTGTCCTGCAGCGGGCTGTCCAGGCGTGCATCGACTGTGCCCACCAGCAGAAGCTGGTCTTTTCCCTGGTCAAGCAGGGCTACGGTGCCGAGCTGGTGGCAGGTGAGGGCTGGGCAGGTTGCACAATGAGGGCTGTGGCAGGGGGATGGGGCAGTGGTATCTCTCTGAAGAGGAAAGCAGCGGGGACAGTGGGTGTAGTCAGGGCCTGAGCTCCATCTCTCCATCTGCTGGGCTCCAGGGACCTTTGGGAGCCTGGGGGCAGAAGGCTTCCCTCAGGACTCCAGATTTTGCTTCCAGACCTGGACAGGAAGACTGGACACCTGAATCCTTCCCATTGACTCTTCTCTGTCTCCCATCCCCCACTTCCAGCCCCTCAGTAAATCCTGTTGTTCTACCTTCAAAATACATCCAGAATCCAGCCATCTTTGCCACCCAACCTCCACTGCGGTCCTTTTAAAACTCTAAGTTACATCATGACCCTCTGATGGCTTCCCTGTCACCCTGAGTAAAATCCCTTACAAGGGGCCACAGGCCTATACGAGCTGTCCCTGGCTATTTCTTTAATCTCCAGGTCACTTCTCTCTCATCCCCAACTGTGCTGCCGCCTTTGCACCTCATGGTCTCACTTTCTGGAATGTTCTTCCCCCAGCTGTCCATGTGACTTGCTCCTTAGGTATCTACTTAGATGCCACTTTATCAATGAGTTCTCTCCTAATTTCCCATTGCTTTTGTCACTCTGTGCTTTCTTATCCTACTTCTTCTGCATAGCAATTACAACCATGAAAGACATAGAGAAAGCTATGATTTCAGCCCCATGCAAAGGAGACATCTCTTTAAAAACAGATCCTACAGCCAGAGAAATCCTTCCTTTCTTTGCCACAGTCCTCCTCAGTTTCAGCCCCAACCTGACAGCTTCCAGAGGGAGCCATGTTGTCTCCACCAAGAGAGAGGGATGGAATGTGTACAACGGGGAGCTTTACCCCCTTAAGTGTTTTGCCTACAGAGGCTCTTTCTGCCATATTCCTGGCTCGACACAGTGGTTGTCACTACCTGCCCTTAATCCCTGGAGCATCAAGCCTTTGCAAGTGTCTCATCTCCAGGAGGAGGACTGTGAGGAGAGATATAGAAAGGACCATGCTCAGGACTGGAGGAAGCTAATGTTGCTTCTGAAATGTGGTAACTGTGTACAGATCAAATTTAACATCACTCCTTTTATAAAGACTTGTCCCCTGAAGGCTTGCCCAGAAGAGCCCTCTGAGTCCTGGTGGTAGATAAGAGTTGGAAATCTCTTTGTGAACTCAGATTTTTGGATGTATCTATCCAAATAAACCTGTGTTTGTATCTGTATCCCTTTGTAGACATGGAAAGAGAGATGGATGTAGAGAGGCTACCTAGGGAATGTAGATAGATGAGTAATTAAAAGAGAATTGAGTACAACCACATCTTAGCTTTGTCACTCAGAGTTCAGAATCACTGACCCCCCAGTAGCAATGAGCTCATCCAATGCTCAGATCTTGGTTTCTAAATATCGCTCTCTTTTTTTCTTAGTGGTACTGGAGATTGAATGTAGGGCTTAACACATTAGGCAAGTGATTTACCACTGAGCCTAAATATAACTCTTCAACGCTAGAAAAATGACTGATTCTTGGGCTGAATCAGATGACCTTGAACAAACCGAAGTACCCCAAACCAAACAAGTGCTAAATAAAAGGGAAGGTATGTTATAAGGACACAAAAAATCTCTGAAGAGGAAACCACAGTACAAATGACAAGCATAGTCCATAGTACTAAACAAATATCTTGAGATTCTTCTGTGATGGATAAATGAATGAGTAAATAAATAAGTGGGGGAGAAGGGTCAACTCTTCCTTATAGAAGAATTCCAAATGACATGTGAAGGGGCATGGGCAGCTTAGTGACTTGTCCTCAAGGACTTAGACCATGGAGAATACAGCGGAGGGATCTGGAGCATGCTGTCTTGGCCAGGTGACAGAGTTAACCCTCCAGCGATGCCATATGGCTAACCCACATCTGATGTGATGCAAAGGACACTTTCCTCCATGGTCTTTCTCCCCCCAAAACCCTGTAACCCCCCTCTAACCATGAGTAAACATCAGACAAACCCCAAAAGGTCATTTCACACAACGCTTGACCTTTTCAAAACTATCAAGGTCAGGGAAAACAGGAAGGCTAAGGAACTGTCACAGACCAAGGAGACAAGGGGACATGACAACTAAAGGCCATGTGGCTGCTGGGATGGGACCTTGGAACAAAAGCAGGTCACTAATGAGACTTCAGGTGAAATCCAATATAGCCCAACTTAAAAACAAAACAAAAATGGACACACAAAAACCCTTCCCCAAGGCCAACTGGTTGTCAGTTCTCTCTCTCCAGTGCCCAGCTCTGAGTCGCCGTCTCTGCTTTTCCAGTCTCTGCATCCTTTGATGGAAAACAGCATCTGCGGAGTCTGCCCGTGGTGAACAGCATCGGCTATGTCCTCCACTTCCTGGCCAAGCTGTGCCGCAGCCTCTTGTGTGAGGATCTCTTCAGCCACCAGCCCTTCCCGGGGAGCCCTGGGGCCTCTGAGAAGGCCCAGGAGAGAGCAGGGAGGATGGAATCAGGTAGGCTATGTCTAACTTCTCTCTGCCACAGGGGCCAGGCTGGCAGGTGAGGCTACTGATGATGGAGCCTGGGAATTCTGCTTGGAGGTTCTCAATTGTCTCTCTGGATGGCCCAGGAGCACTCTGAGCTGGCTGTATTTTGGGGATGTCCACACCATCCTCACGCCGTGCTATAGCAAGAAGTGATCACTCCAGGTATTAAAAAGTATATTCTGGTTTTGAGGTCTATGTTGTTAGAATTTAGACAGTGAGACCACATCACATCTAATGAGTGATATCTTTCATTCTTCTGTAATCAAAACTCAAGATACTTATTCATGTTTGTTAGTAGTTACAGGACCCTGAAACAAAGGAACCAAAGAATCTAGGGCTAAAGAGTAGATGAAGTCAGACCTGTTTGGTAGTCTTAGACACCTACCAGTGTGAGAATTAGTGTGACAAAGTGTCTGTTATTGAAGGAATTTGACTGGGCCATGTAGCAAATATGTCTTTTAGATAGAGCTGTTGTTTCTCTCTCAAGCACAGGATGGAAAGTGCCTCGAGAGCTGAGTTCCTTTCAGGGGAGCAGGGCCACAGGACAAAGTTGCTACAGTGGTGTCTTCCCAAAGGGCGATATGCTAAGAGGAAATGCTCCTCCCCACTTAGCAGCCCCGAGTCATGGATCTGCCAAGAGTAGATCATGAGTCTCAAGGATGTGCAGAAACTTTCACCTTTTTTCTTTCTCTGAAAGCAGTGTTGTTGATTTTGAAAAGCACAGGGCCCTGAAATGGGGCCACTGTGCTATTCTGTATATTACGTTTGTAAACCCATGTGTGTGCCAGGCACTGTGGGAGACCCTGTCTTGGAGAAGAAAATGCATGAGCTTAGCAAAGTTTTTGAGTGACCACCACAAATAATGAAGAAGGGTTACACCTGAAGGCCTGTGCTCACAGATAGGTTTAGAGTATTAAACAAAAGGATACTTTACAGCAGGGAAGGAGTAACTTAGCTCTTTAGCATAGATTTTCTCCATTAGTATCAAGAACTCTGCCTACAATTTTGCTCTGATCACTCTGAGACCCAGGAAACAGGAAGAAATTTGGCCTTTACAAAGGAAGATACCTAACTGAATATGGTCGGTTTGAGAAGATATCCATGCTTTCCTTCATGTCTCTATGTGTGAGCTGGGAAAGATTTTCTTGTGTCTCTGGGGCTATGTTTCTTCTGATAGTTAATGAGTCTGGCCTCTCCAACAAACCAGAGCTGCCTTAGAAACATGCATACATAGTTTCTGTGGTACTGGGGGTTGATCTGAGGGCCTTGCACTTGCTAGGCAGACACTGTACCACTTAAACTACACCGTTAGCCCTTTTTGTGTTGGTTATTTTGAGATAGTGTCTTGCTTTATGCCCAGACTGACTTGGACTGTGATCTTCCTATTTGTGCTTCCCCACATAGCTGGGATGGCAGCCATGCACCTCTGCACCAAACCATTGGTTGAGATGGGGTCTTGTGAACTTTTTGCCCCCTCTGGCATTGAAACATGATCCTCCATATCTCCGCCTTCAAGCAGCTATGATTACAGATTTGAGCCACCATGCCCAGGCTTCAGAAACATAGTGAATTTATGTTCTACTGAATCTTGTAATGAGACTATCAGAAGAATATAATCTCAGTTTTCAAACCTTTGCTTATTGTTACACTGATCAAACAATAACCCATGAGACATGATCAGAAAAGTCTCATAATTGATGTCTCCCTGTCTCCCGCTGTCTTTTCTTTTCTTTTCTTCTTTCTTTTCTTTCTTTTTTCCTTTTTATTTTGTGATAGGATCTTGCTTTGTAGTCCAGGCTGACCTGGAACTTAGGATCCTCTTGCCTCAGTCTCCCAGGAGGGATTATAGGCATGTACCACTACACCCAACTTCCCATTGTCCTTTAAATTTATCCTACAGGACCAGTTCTTCTTCCCTGACTATGGATGAAATTTAGGACAAACCTTGTGGTTTTCTAGTTTTAAATGTTCTCTGATCAAGAATAATATGCTCAGATCCAACTGAGGTCTAATTTCACTCAAAAATATAACTACTGTACTACCCGTTCCCAGCTCACTTGCTTTGGGCCCCTTGCCCACTGCTGCAAAGGAGGATATGGTTGGCTTCTTTCCCCACCTCCAAGCTCATGGTTTTGGCCCCTCCTATACCTGGCTAATCTCAATTTCAAAACCCTTCATGGTAGCAGGGGCAAAGGAGGAGAGTCAAGAGGCAGAGGAAACTGGGTGCTGGTGGCTCACACCTGTAATCCTAGCTACTTGGGAGGCTGAGATCAGGAGGATCAAGGTTTGAGGCCAGCCTGGGCAAATAGTTTGTGAGACTCCATCTCCAAAATAACCAGAGTGAAATGGACTAGAGGCGTGGCTCAAATGGTAGAATGCCTGCTTTGCAAACAGGAAGCCCTGAATTCAAACTCCAGTCCCACCAAAAAAAAAAAAGTCAGGGGAGATTTCTCTTGCAAGAGCCTGCTGGTTCTGGCAAGTGCTTTAAGCTGACTCTTCATCCTGTAGGCCTTTGTGTGGGTTCTTTGGTGACCCTACCATTTGTCACCTGCACTTTCCTTGGTGTGGACAAATGCACCCTCTTCTCTGAATGGTCATTCACATTTCCTTCACTATCTGAGGCCTCTGGGGCAACTCTAGCTTCTTTCTGCAGAAGACCTCTCATGCCTCCATCGCATCCTTGGAAGGCATCTAAGGCCATCCTCTGCACACTTCTCATAGTTCATATTTTGCCTTTGAGAAACATTCACATTTTCTCAATTCTTTTTTTTTTTTTGGCAACTCTGGGACCTCACACTTGCTTGGCAGGTGCTCTTGCTGCTTGAGCCACTCCACCAATCACACACATATTCTCTGCCCCAAGTGCAGTTGAGCCCTGAAGGCACCTCTCTTTTGCTCTGCCAGCAAAAGAGAGGTTTTTTAGATTTTCCATGGGAACCAAACAATAATCCAGTTTATCTCCCAAGTTTCAAGAGGACAGACATTAAACTATTCACATAACCATGTCAAAGTTATTGGAAACAGACTGGATAGTTCTCTTCGTAAGTTGACTTCTAGTCAACCTGTTTCTCAACCTTTACAATCTTGTTTTGCAGGCTAGAGGTACGTGGTCATCTGCTGATGTAAACTTGGTTTTCCAACATCTCGTTCTGTAAGACCTGCTTGGTGGTGTCACACTCTATCAGAGTAAAATATGTAATGTCTGTTGTTTTGCAGGCTCAGCCAGAACCAAAACTAAAGAGTATCATTTTAACACTTTCTGCCAAAAGAATGGCCATCTTCCTCAAAGCTGGCATCCAGGTGAGAGCTAGTTTCCTTCCTAGTCAACTGGGAAGTATTGACCCCAGTTGTTCTCATGAGCCTTTCCCTCACCCAAGTTGACTTTAGAAAAAAACAGAATGTGCTTGGGTGTTGCAAAACCCAACACTGTGTACTTCACTTGTCAGGAAACCTGGAGACAGTGGAGGCCACAGCAATGACATGGTAGGCTTTGGACAGCCCCTTTGGCCCAGGTCACTCAAGTCTGCCATGAGCCCTAAAATGACACCATTCAGGAACTGGCTTTAGAGTTGGCATTGTCGCCTTAGGATTTCCTTGCCACAGTTCCTTTGCAGGGTAACACATCAAGTTATTATTCTGTTAGAGGATAAAATAGTTTATCATCTCTTTCTCCTCATCATGAGGAGAAGGGCACATATGAGGGAAGGAGTGAAAACATTTTTGATGTTGGGCTTCACACCCATCCATAGGACCTCAGCTTTCCTAAACAAGACAGTCAGGTCTCGAGTTCATTTGAACCAAGACATGGCCCTACTCTTCCCCAAGGTGTTCATTTCAAGCTGGAGTATCCCAGGCTTTGCCACACATTTGAAGGGTTGGTCAACATTCAGCTTGACATTTTCAGAATGCAGTTAACCCAATGATATGAAAATGCAAAGCCATGAGAACTAAGGAACTACCAAAGGAACTGAGATGTTTGTGTTGTGGAAGATTTGGGAAGGCGTGATTCCCTATTCCTATATGACAGCAGGTCATGTGGCTTTGTTCTCTGTGACTAAAGAGCTCAATGAAACTAAATAACTAGAAGGTAGATTTAATTAAAACCAAGGCCTTGCCGCTGAAACTCTGGTCAGGGGCTTTGTCCTCATTTGAGAACTATAGAGCTCAGTGGCCCTCTCGGGCCTTTTCACAGCAGATTCCCAGGGGGTTTGAAGGCACACTTAAGTCTGAGAAGTATGGATTTCAAGAATACTCCTCAGGTACACAACCTGACCATTAAATAACCAAGTGGAGCTCTCAGAAGGCAGTCCCCTCAGGAGGCAGGTGGTGTTGACATTATAAGGAGCCCTGAAAAGTCAAAGCCATTCCAAAGTAGAAAGGGGTCACTTGGATAGTAGGTGATAGTGATCTCCCCCTTACCAGTGACAAATATGTGCACATGTCCACCTGTTAGGGCCACTCCAGGAGCTTTGGCAGCCCAGAGGAGTAGGAGAAAAATGTCCTGTCTGGTCCCTTCCAGACTGAGGTCAGGGGACAGCCTTGGGAGCAGGAAGAGCAGGTGTCCCAAGATTCCCAGCAAGGAGCCTTCTGGTGGCAAAGGCGAGGACACTAAGACAAAGCCACTCCCCTTAGAAGATGACCTCGTTCCTGAGAGCAGGAGGGCTCCCTCCAAATCTCTTCCTCAGAACATTTTTAGTGGAACTGGGGTTTGAAGTCAGGGCTTTGCACTTGCAAAGCAAGCACTCTACTCCTTGAGTCTCGCCTCTAGTCCATTTTGCTGTGATTATTTTGGAGATGAGTTCTTGTGAACTGTTTGCCAAGGCTGGCCTCAAAACTTGATCCTCCTGATGTTAGCCTCTGAAATAGCTAGGATTATAGGTGTAAACCACCAGCACCTGGCTTCCTCAGATCTTTGAAAGACACAGTCTCTTTCCAAAAGCTCCTTCTCCTGTGTCCAGGAAACACCA